AATCCTCTGGAGCACAATTCTACTCTGTAACACATGGCTGTCATAAGTTAGGAGCCAACCTGACAGCAATGGCTTTGGCCTTTCGTTAAGTGTTTTTTGGGGAGACAGTAGTAGGGTCCTACAGAAAGAATGGTCCTGATTGGTATGCCTATCTAGTGAGCTGTAGTTGGAGAGGGAGTGATAGTAGGTACACACTCTCTGTGCATATGTCAGTAGGAAACTGAAAGTTCCACTGTGCTAGTCATTACTGCAGCTCCAGGAAAGGAATTTAGCAACTTGGAGCCCAGTATAGGGAAACTCTGTCATGCTGGTAGCCCAGCTTGCACCTTGGGAAAGAGTCTTGCTTCCAAATCCAAGGGCTTCCTTTCTCTGACTGTGAGATGTGGTCATGGGCCACCGTGGGTGTGTGGCCATGGACAACCACTCCTTCTCCCACTTCCTGTCCCAGAGCAAGATTTCTTTCCACTGTGCTGAGTGCTCCTTGGGTCCTCAGTGTCAATGTGACCCAGAGGACCGTCAGCACGGGTCCAGATGAAGCTGGCTAGAAATCTGCTGACCCTGTGGGAAGACTGAGTCACCATTGGAACTCCTCCAGTCTCTGTCCTGGAAATTAGGAGGCCTTAGGTTATGCAGTTCTCCTGATATGATGCTGTAGGATCAGCACTGGACTTTGAACCACAAGGTCAGCAGCTCAAACCCACCAGCTGCTCCTCAGAAACCCTTCACAGGGTTGCTAAGAGTTGGAGCTGACTTGACAGCACTGAGCAATAAGAACAATAGGTAGTGCAAGGAACTGTGGTGGTACTGTAGGATAAACAGGCCTGCTAACCACAAAGTCAGCAGTTCAAACCCATCAGGTGCTCCATGGGAGAAAGATGAGGCTGCCTGCTTCTGTAATGATTTACAACCTCAGAAACCCTATAAAAGGTTGCTATGAATTGGCATTGACTAGAGGCAATTGGTTAATAGGTTGCAATTGGTTAGTAGATGCAAATGGTTATGTGTCTGACTAATAACTTACTGAAACATTTGTGGTTGCAACCTAGCCAGAGGCATCTTGGAGCAAAGGCATGGAGATATATGTATGAATGGCCACTGTCATGAAAATCCTAAGGAACAGTTCTACTCTGCACACATGTGGAGTAGCCATGACCCAGGGAAGCTTGATGACAACTGGTTGTTGGACCCTAGAAATTAGTGTGGATTACAGGTACTCATTTCAGTGGCTAGTTCCTCTCACTTCTGGTGAGTAGAAGCATAGTCACAAAGTACCCATTCCCCTGAAGCAACCCTCTGTACCTAACCCGAAAGAGGGGCCTTGCCTTTGAGCCCCAGTGGGAACTGAGGTCCCTTCAACACCTTCATTGCCCTGTCTCGTCATTCACCACTGAGAGAGCTCAAGGATGTGATGAGGAGGGAATGAATGTAGGAATTCCCATCCAAGCATCTGCACCAAGTAGAGTAGACCCTGCACCTTCTGGGAGCCATGACTTCCAAAAGGCCAAATGGTGGAGCTGGGAGTCTGCAGATGCAGTGTCTAGGCTGGGGGAACAATGCTTGTGGCTCTGCAGTGCACACAGCTCCTGGACACACCATTGTGGAGGGGAACTGTCAAGATAGCTCAGGCAGTGAGAAGGGACTGCTCTACCTCTGCCCCCACCTGCTCTGGACCCCAATATAGGTTCCCTTTGTTTTAGGAGAGCCAGAAGCTGAATTTGAAGGGAGTGTTGGAATGTGAAAGGGGCCTATGGTGCTGAAGTTTATGTGTTTTCTTGACTTGGCTGTGGATCTCAGATGTTTGGCTTAACACTAGAATAGTTGATCTTCCACAGTGTAATCTAAAGCAATGCAATGTAATCAGCTTCTATAATTGAAGGTCATGTCATGTTTGTAATGTAATGTAGTGGCTACGTAGATTAAACATTGGACTGTGGGAGAAAGGCGAGGCTTTCTGCTCCCACAAATACTTAAAGCCTCAGAAACCCTATACAGGGCCACAATGAGTTGGAATCAATTTGATCAATGTGATGTAATGGATCATACCACTGAAAGGGGAGTTCCGTAGGGTATAGTGTACCTTCAGACTATAGGTATTTGGCAGAACTCACTTTCTCCCCACCCTACACATTTCCCATCTGTTTGCAGAATTCTCCAGCTTGCCACCTGATCTACTGATTTAGGACTTGCCAGCCACCTACAACCATGTGAGCTAATTCCTTGAAGTAAATATATAAGATATATGATGGGGTTTCAAAAAGTTAATGGGAAAATGAAATGGAAAGATAATAGAATGATTCCATGGAATTTTGAATTATATGCTGATATGTACACATGGAGTCCCCTGGGTGGTGTAAATGATTTTGCACTGACTACTAATCAAATGCTTAGTGATTCCTTCACCCCCTGAAAAGGCTCAGAAGGAAGTTCTGGTGACCTTTGTGAACAGTACAGCCTTGAAAATCCTCAAAGCACAATTGTATTCCAACGGTCAGAGTTCCATGCGACTCCAGGACAACAGCTTTGGTTACTACATGCTCACATTCATTTCACTGTTTTTTCTTCTCTGGAGAACTTTCACCAAGAAAGGGACAGACCTTCATGCTTGGGTTGAACTGTAACGTTTTCTGCTGCAGGAAGCAGGTGCTGTGTGTCTTGGCCTCCGGTTTCACAGACCTATAAATGTGGACAAGGGACTTGTTTCTGTGAGACTCAGCTTGTTAGTATGGAAGTTTGAGGTGACTGAGACCCCCAAGGGCCCAAGTCTGCCTCCAACAGGTGCTTCCTGCTGAATACAAAGGCTGCCACCAAGCTGTCCCTTAACCAATACTATAAGCAGAGGGAAATCTGTAGAACAGGGGCCAGGGTCAGAGTAAAACAGGGCAGTATATAGCCCCACCCCTTGAAGAAGAGTTCTGGTCTACCCTGTGAGTGTTGAGGAGCTGTGTGCTTCTGGAAGTTGAGCTTGGCGTCCCTGCACCATGCCTTGGGTACCCGTCCTGCTCATGCTGCTCACGCAGTGTACAGGTAAGACTCAAAGCAACCTTGTTGCCCTCTGTACCTTCTCTGGTTTTGTCGACTCCTGGTTCCATGTACCTTTATGTTCCAGGTTGTGACCCTCAGCCGGTGCTGCACCAACCTCCATTGGTGACGGCCTCCCTTGGAACCACTGTCAGAGTTGCCTGCACCCTGAGTAACGACTATGACGTGAGCATTTACAACATCTACTGGTACCAGCAGAGGCCAGGTCAGGCACCAAAGTTCCTGTTGAGGTTCTTCTCATCTTCAAACAAGAACCATGGCCAGGGCATCCCCTTTCGCTTTTCTGGCTCGAAAGACATGGCCATGAATACGGGGTACTTGAGCATTTCTAAGCTGCAGGCTGAGGATGAAGCTGTGTACTTCTGTGCTGTGGGGTCTCAGAATATGGACCAACAGGTGAAGAGAGACAGGGAGCAAGGCAAGGAGCCTGTTGCATCAGGGTCCCAGGCCCCCTAGAACATGCTGACCTGAAACTAAAGGCCAAAGAGGCCAGTGTTGGCACAGAAAAGCCTACTGCCAACCTCAGGGTTGAGTGGGAGGTGGGGCCCTGGTGAATGCCAGCCAATGTTTTGTGGTGGTTTTTCACTTCTATGAGGTCAGTGGTGCTGCTGAAATCCCCCTTGGGGACTGGATTGAAGAATTAAAGCTGCTTTTGCCTTGGGAAATTGTTTTGTTTTAACATTTTATAGTGCTTTAGGTGAAGATTTATATAGCAAATGAGTTTTCCAATCAATCGTTTGTACACAAATTTGTCTGTGATAATCCCACTTTGTGTCCCCCATACCCTTCCAAGTTCCTTATTTCCAATCTATACTACAGTACTAAAGAAATCACAGACAATATAGGAACATATAGTATGGGTGTGTAGCCATTACAGCTTATGGACAAGAGCAGAGGTCAGTGGGATCTGGGCCTTGGACTGTTTTTGATGACCCCTGTTCTAGAGAAGAGGGTTCTGGTGTCACAGTGGGTTAAGTCCTGGGTTTCTTACCTCAATTCAGACCCACCAGCTGCTCACAGATTGAAGGATATGATTTACAACTTTGGAAGCCCTATTGAAGCAGTTGTACTCTGTTCTACAGGGTCACTGTGAGTGAAAGTCAACTTGACTAGTGAGATTTTAGGTGTTTTCTCTAGAGAAACATACTAGCTCCTGCCTCCCATAGGAGTCAAGGTTAATCGGGTCACCCTTAGCTCTTCCTGCCTTTGGACTCCAGGGATCGATCCTAAGCCTGGGATTCAGTGAGAGACCAGGAGGATGGAAGGATGCAGACTGATAGTAGTTTGGGGGCTGGTGTGAAGAGACCAAAGCAGTCTCTGGGGCCTTGCACCTTTGGGTGGTGGGTCCGAATGGGTACTGAGAGAGGAATCCTTTCCACACAATGTGTGGGCATGCCTCATACTCAGAGAGTCACAGGGAAATATCTGTCTTTGGACACCAACCCAGCTGGAATGTCCTTTTACCGTGGCTTTAAAGAGTACATTCCCCCACACCCAAAGCCTGGCCAAAAGACAGACACACTGGTCAAGTTGACAGACACATGGGGCCTATGACTTTCTCCTTTGTATGATTACAGACTTTTTCATTTCTCATTATCAGCTCATGCCAGGCTCTAAATACCCTTTGGAATTCTGCTCTTTCAAATTCAGAGAGTTCTTTCTTTTGATTGTGAGTTGGGTGAAGGTCTAAGGAGCAGATTCGTTTCTCATTCAACCATTTATATACATTTTGTTTCATGTCATTGATTTCCATCCCCACAGTGAAACATCACTCATTCCACTTCCTCCCTTTGTTTCCTGTTTCCATTCCTCCTTCTGAATTTTATCTTTAAGTAGGTGCTGCCTTTGTATCTCAAGTGGTTGGTTAGTCTAAGAGATGCATCCCTGTAGAGGCATTGTTTTTTTTGTTGTTGTTTGTTTTGATTTTTTGCTTCAAAGTTTTTATTGTGAATTAAGTGAAGGTTTACAGGGCAGATCATCAGTTTTACATTCAACAAATCATTGCAATGATTTTAATCTCCTTCATGCACCATAAGCTAACAGTATTTATCTTATTACCTTTTTATTTTTTATGTATACATTGTTGTTATTGTTAAGTGCCATCGAGTCAGTGCCAACTCATAGTGACCTTATGCACAGCAGAACGAAGCACTGTCCCATCCTGGGCCAACCTCATTATTGTTGCCACGCTTGAGCCCATTGATGCTGCCACTTGGCCAATCCATCTTGCTGGGGATCTTCCTTTTTTTCTCTGACCCTCCACCTTACCAAGCATGAAATCCTTCTCCAGCGACTGGTCCCTCCTGACAATCAGTCCAAAGTATGAGAGATCAAATCTGGCCATCTTGGCCTCCAAGGAGCACTCTGGCTGCACTTCCAACACAGATTTGTTGGTTCTATGGACAACCCATGGCACTTTCAATATTCACCTCCAACACCATAACTCAAAAGCATCAATTCTTCTATGGTCTTCCTTATTTACTGCCCAACTTTCACATGTTACACTGAACATATATATTCATTAATGTCCAAAGGGCACATTTTGCAAGTCAGCCTCCTGCCTGCAAGCACACTGCCTTTCTCAGTCCATGGGCCTGTAGTCCTCTGCAGCTCTATCTCTCTATGCCATTGCCTCTGCCACCATCTCTGTTGTCACTGCTTTTCTGGTTCGAATACCTCGCTCCTCTCATGCTCTTCCCTGTTGATGGTCCTAGGGTTCTCTGTTCCTGAAATGACAGATTAGCTGCTCCCCTCTTTTAGTTATACCTCTTGTACATTTACAGTTGTGACAATTGCCATTAGGCCTATAACAATTACTCAAAATGGAATCATAAAATCCTATCCCATCACAACCAGACCCACCTAGACAGGAGGGAAACTATTCAGTGGGGATACTATATTACCCACTTTTTCTGACACTAAGCACCCTCATGAAAGCTTGTAAGCCAGCCACTTGGTGCCTTTTGTAGTCCACCAGTCTTGATAGTTGCAGTCTATATTGCCCATCCCTATCAATCCAGTGTACTGAGGAGGCAAGCTTGATCCTTGACACAAAGAATCCTTCACTTTCGGTTGGAATTTTGGGCAACTTCATAAGCAAATGTTCAGTTTATCAAGTTGTAGCAATTTATGCTTGCTCCCTGTATTAAACTACTTTATCTTCATCTGATTGAGTTCTGGTCAGCATGCCATCCAAGCTAGGTCAAATGTGTACTACCTGCAAGTTTGGAAGTTCTCATTCGCCTCCCACTACTTCAAACCAGCTGGCCACTTCACTCTTAACTCTAACCCCCAGTGGCTAGGTCAGTGTCTTTGGGCTTGGGAGATTGCACATTTCCCTGAACTTCAAACCAGTCAGCCTTTCCTCTTCTTTTTCTCATCTCAAGGTCATTGGGTGTCTATTGAACATGGCCAAACTCAGCCCATATTTTCATTGCTGTTTTTACCTACTTCTAGTCACAAGTTGACCAGGGTGGTCACCAGCTAGCATACAAGACTGTTCATGTGTTCCCTTCGAGTTTCAGTGTTAGAAAGGAGTTTGCCTGATAGGTTGACTTTTCTTGTCTTACTGGTTCCAAGGCAAACAGCTTTCTTGATATTGTCACAGCCAGTCTGCTTTTGTGATCTCCCCCAACTGGTCTTTCTTTTAAGAAGTGTCTTTTGTTCCTCTAGCCTTTCTGGGTTGGTCTCTGTACATCTTTTCAAGTGGGAATGTTCTACCTCCGAAGGTTCTGGATGGGGCTTAGTATTCCACCTAAGGCTCCATACTCCACAAGGGTTTAACAAGAAACCTGTTTCCCTTGGTAACATTTGAATCCCATTTTAGATGATCCAATCAGTTATAGGCTGAAGACGGGCTTACAAACTTTCTGTAATCATGTTTCCCAGTATTCCTTTCTATCCCACATTAAATTCTATATTACAATAGTAGGTAGGGAAACCAATATCCATAAAACTACCAAGTACCTTAACATTATTTTCCCTCTTTTACTCATTCAGACTATGTCTTGGTCCCTATATCATAGAGCCCTGTTGTTCCAAGGCTATGCATATATCAGACTCTAGCTCTATCAAATTTAACTTATGTATACTTCCCTAAGTCTTCCCTTATCATCCTTGTTCATCTGCCCCCTCCCACTTCTTGTGCATTACCCTCCCCTCTCCTCTTTATTGCCCTCCCCATCACCTGAGTTATCATGTATCTATCCCTTATCCTGAGTAACTGTCCCCTCCCCCTCACACCTGGTAACCATTAAAGAATTATTCTCTTAGTATGGAAATATTTTCCTAAGGTTTTACAATAATGGTTGTATGCAATATTTGTCCTTTTGCACCTAATTTCACTCAGCATTATTTCCTCAAGTTTCATCCATATTATGAGATGTTGTTTGTTTGTTTTGTTAACAAATTACCATAAAGAATTTTTATTTCACTTTTGAAATGTTTGAATATTTAATTTAAGAATTTTCTTGCAAAATCATTGTTGTTCAGTGCAGTCACATCAGTTTTGATCCAACAGCCCTATATAGAGTTTCTGAGGAGTGGCTGGTGGGTTTTCTTTCTTTCTTTCATAGCTTTTATTGGGAATTGAGTGATAGTTTACATGGCAGAATATCGGTTTTGCAATTAACCAATCGTATTATGTTTCACTTCAATAATTAGAATCCCCTCATGTGCCATCAGTTAACAGTATTTGCCTCTATTCCTGCTTTGTTTTTGTTTTTTGTTATTTTTTGGTGTACACAAAACCACACAGGACTATATAATCATATAAACAGCCAAGGAGTACATTTTGCAAGCAAGGCTCCTATTCGCCAGCTCACAGCTGCTTTCTCTCTCCATGTCCTCATCTCTGCCTCCATCTCTGGTGTGACTGCTTCTCTGATTAGGATCCCACGTTCTGCTCATACTATTCTCTCTTGTTCTCTCTTGATGATCCTAGGGTCCTCTGTTCCTGGAATGTAAGGTTAACTACTCCCTGCTTTTTGTTACACAATTTCTACCTTTACTACAGTGACAGTCGCAATTAGTCATGATAACAATTACTCACTATTGAATCAAAAGAATCCTATCACCATCTCCTTTCACCATACCCCATCTAGATAAAGATGAAAACTGTTCATTGGGGATTTTTACCTACCCCCTGATATGAAGTGTTTTGCAGCTTCATCATTATTCTTCAAGGTAGCATAGTATTCCGTTGTGTGTATGCACTAAAGTTTGTTTATTCATTCTTCCACTGATGGGCACATAGGCTGTCTCCATCTTTTTGCTATTGTGAACAGTACTGCAAAGAACATTGATGTGCATGTATTTACTTGCATTCTGGCTCTTATTTCTTATGGCTATATACTAAGTAGAGGAATTGCTGGATCATAAGGTATCTCTATTTCCAGCTTTCTGAGGAAGTGCCTTACTGTTTTACAGAGTGGTTAAACCATTTTACAGTCCCACTA